GCAGAGAGAGACAGGTCGGCTGTTGGCGCTTTCCATACTTCCCGTTATATATTATACGTACTACCAGCCTACGTGAGTATTTTTACCCATCCACGTATCGAAAACCCACATGACACATTCACAAACATGTAAGAACACTAATAATGGAACACGTGCTGAATAGGCAAAATTTGCGATTTTAGCTTAAGTAGCAATGCTCTTCTTGCCGAACAAGGCAAGCGAAAATTTGGGTATGCAATAATTTCGCAAAAAATCATTCTGAACATAACTAAAAGTATATTTCATTGTGTTTGTTTATTTATTAATTATTGTAAACTTATCTAAAATATATTTAGCTGGATTAGGCTCAATTAAATTGTGCTTGTTATAATAAGGTGAAGTAAGTTTTCGATGGTTCTTTTGGTACAAAATTATTAATTTTTACATTAACATAAATAAAAAATATATATCTTTAAGCGTATAAGAGAAAATTTTAGAAATGATTTAATTTTAAATGAGTTCTTGCTAATTGATCAATTTTACCTATTCGGCACGACACACATGCACATGTGCACACACACACACACACACACACAGAATAGGAACTGAAAACTCTGAAACAGCCTAGAGACCTAAAGAGCACTGTTGGCGTGACATCAGAAACTGCTACCTCTGTCACAAACAAGGGGATGAAGAGGTGAAACTGTATGCAGAGGCCCTGTCAGACCATCGTGGAGCCCAAGAAAAGAACGAGGACCACATCAGGAACAATCAAGGGGACTGTAGACAATGAAAGAGCTAAGCTATAAGTAGAGGCCTTAAAAGACCACAGCTGTGCCCAGGGAAAGCTGAGAAGGGAAAATGACAGACCACTGGGGCCAGGGACAACAGATAGTGAAGAGAATGAAGTAAGGACAGCTGCAATGGAGGCAACTAAATCAAATCAGGGGATACATAGGGATATGCAGCAGGAGAATGAAAGGGAGAGATCAGTCTTTGTTAATGGGCTCCAGGAAGTTGAAGGGGAAACTTACGAAGCAAGAAGACAAGGGGAAAAAAAGCGACTGAAAGCATCATGAAAACAATAGAAGATGACATGACCCACCTGGCAAATTTTCTGAGAATAGGGGGGTTTGCAAGAGGAAGAAACCAGCCAGTCAAAGTGATTTTCAAGAGAGAATTGGCTCGAAGCAGGATTCTGCAGGAGGAAGCATGACTAAGGGACATGTCAACATACCAGAGGGTGTATCTCGACTGCAACAGAACACAAGAAGAAAGGCAGAAACTGAAAGAGAGGGTATAAAGATGTAAGGAGGAAAGAGAGGCAAAGATGGAGATGTACAGGAGAACCCAGACTCAGGAAGAAGGTCAAATATAACCTCCCTCACAACCACCTACAGAAGCCCTCCAACCAGGACAACCCCAATGCAATCAAACATTCTAACCCAAAACACACATGACATACCCAATGCCCCCACCCACCTCATTACAAACTCCACCTTCACAGCAACTGCCCATAGGACCTCATCAGGGCTCTCACTTCCCCAACCCCAATGTAACCCCCCCAAGACCACAGTTTTAGAAAAGAAGTTGAGGGTTTGGTATACAAATGCAGATGGAATAAACAAATGTGAGGAGTGACATGAAATAATCAAGGAGACATCCCCAGACATAATAGCACTCACAGAAATGAAACTCACCAAGATAACAGATGCAATCTTTCCACCCAGATATCAAATCCTGAGGAAAGATAGAAGGAGCAGAAGGGGAGGAGAACTTGCACTGCTCATTAAAAACTGGTGGGGAATTGAGGAAATGGAAGGAATACATGTAATGGGGGAAAGAGACTACATAGTAGGGGGCCATAAGGTGGTAATTGCAGTGATGTACAACCCACCACAGAACTGCAGGAGGCCAAGAGTCTTAAGAATATGAAGAAAGCAACAGAGCAATGGTAGACGCACTAGCCGAGGTGGCCAGAAAAGCTCATACAGGTAGAGCAAAGTTACTGGTTATAGGTGATTTTAATCACAATGAAACTGATTGGGAAAACCTGGAGCCCCATGGGGGTCCTGAAACATGGAGAGCCAAGATAATGGATGTGGTGCTGGAAAACATCATGCATCAACATGTTAGAGACAGGTAAGGATGTTAGAGAGAGGTAAGGATGATCCAGCAAGACAGGACCTAATATTCACCTTGAGTAGTTTAGACATCGAGGATATCATGTACGAAAGGCCCCTTAGAGCTAGTGATCATGTGGTTCTGTACTTTGAATACATAGTTGAGCTACAAGTGGAAAGGGTGGCAGGAATAGGATGGGAGAAGCAAAATTACAAAATGGGGGACTACACAGGCATGATGAACTTCCTGCAAGACATTCAGTTAGAAAGAGAATTGGCAGGAAAACAAGTAAAAGAAATGGACTATGTGACAATAAAATGCAAGGAGGCAGAGGAGAGGTTTGTTCCTAAGGGAAACAGAAATAATGGGAAGATCAGAACGAGTCCTTGGCTCACCCAAAAGTGTAGGGAGGCAAAAACTAAGTGCACTAGAGAATGGAAAAAGTACAGAAGACAAAGGACCCAGGAAAATAGATTAGCCGATGAGCCAGAAACGATTATGCACAGATAAGAAGGGAGGCTCAGGGGCAATAAGAAAATGACATAGAATCGAAAGTCTAGTCTGACCTGAAGTTGTTGTATAGCCACATTAGAAGGAAAACAACAGTCAAGGACCAGGTAATCCAGGAAGTCAGAATGGGGAGGTACACCAACAAGGGATACACCAACAAGTGCTGGATGAAATACACACAACGAGGAGGAGGTGAAGAAGCTGCTATGTGAACTTGATACCTCAAAGGTGGTGGGACCGGACATCTCTCCATGGGTCCCTAGAGAGGGAGCAGATATTTTGTGTGTGCCACTAACAACAATTTTCAACACATCCATTGAAACTGGTAACTACCTGAGGTATGGAAGATGGCAATGTAGTCCCAATTTTTTAAAAAGGAGACAGATATGAGGCATTAAACTACAGACCTATGTCACTGACATGTATGGCATGCAAAGTCATGGAGAAGATTGTCAGGAGGAGAGTGATGGAGCACCTAGAAAGATACAGGCTTATAAACGACAACCAGGAAAATCATCACAAACCTACTGGAGTTTTATGACAAGGTAATGGAAGTAAGACACGAGAGAGAGAGAGAGAGAGAGAGAGAGAGAGAGAGAGAGAGAGAGAGAGAGAGAGAGAGAGAGAGAGAGAGAGAGAGAGAGTGAGAGGTGGATAAACTGCATTTTCTTGGACTGCAAGAAGGCCTTCGACACAGTTTCTCACAAGAGGTTAATGCAAAAGCTAGAGGATCAGGCATGCATAGTCTAGGTGGTCAAAGACTACAAACCTCACTCAATGAAAAAGATCTTGGGATGAGTATATTACCGAGCACATCTCCTGATGCACACATCCACCAGATAATTGCTGCAGCATATATGCCCCTGGCAAACCTAAGAATAGCGTTCCGATACCTCAGTAAGGAATCATTCAAGACTATGTACACCGTGTATGTCAGGGCCATACTGGAGTATGCAGCACCAGTTTGGAATCCACACCTGGTCAAGCACATCAAGAAATTACAGAAAGTGCAAAGGTTTGCAACAAAACCAGTCCCAGAGCTAAGGGGATTGTCCTTCGAAGAAAGGTTAAAGGAAATCGGCCTGACGACACAGGAGGGTTAGGGAAGACATCATAACGACATATAAAATACTGCTAGGAATTGACAAGGTAGACAAAGACAGGATGTTCCGGAGATGGGACACAGAAACAAGGGGTCACAATTGGAAGCTGAAGACTCAGATGAGTCAAAGGGATGTTAGGAATTATTTCCTCAGTGCTAAAGCTGACAGGAAACCTAGTAGGGATCAGTGAAGAGACGGGGGCCAGGAGCTATGAATCGACTCCTGCAACCACAAATAGGTGAGTACACACAACACACACACACACACATATTATATATATATATATATATATATATATATATATATATATATATATATATATATTATATATATATATATATATCCCTCTACCTGTAATTATCTACTATGATGGCAGGATTGCTGGTATTCTTTTTTCTGTCTCACAAACACGCGGGATAACATATATATCTTGCTACTTCTACTTACACAGAGGTCGCACTACACGTGTATATACACACGTATATATTTACACACCCATCTGGGTTTTCTTCTATTTTCTTCATAGTTTTTGTTCTTCATTTCCTTTTATCTCCATGGGGAAGTGGAAAAGAATTCTTTCTCCGTAAGTCATGCGCATTGGAAGAGGCGACTAAAATGCCGGTAGCAAGGGGCTAGTAACCCCTTCTCCTGTATAAATTACTAAATTTAAAAAGAAAAACTTTCTTTTTTTTTGGTCACCCTGCGTCGGTGGGATACGACCGGTGCGTTGAAAAAATATACCCTCTTTGTCCTTGCAATGTTTGTAAGGGCTTGACAAAGCTCCTGCAGAGCGAAACGTTGACACAATAAAATATCACATTTATCTAAGAGGAGGCCACTTCCCTCGAGGAAGGAGTGAGTGCCCTTGATGCTGGTGAAGGAATGACAGCTACCCCTCCCATTGCCCCTCATTTCCCAGGTGCTATATACCCCCTACATGTTTATTGCTTCTCTATGATTATAATAACAATACTCAAGTAACTACTACGGATGTCTCCCACGAGGGAGGACCCCTAAATAACTGATAACAATCTCTCCGTTTTCTTACATCAAGCATCAGTACTCCTCAACATCTTCTCTAAAGAAATTTAACTGACTTGTGGTCTTCGAAGTTGAAGAGGAAGAACAGGTAATTATGGAAGTGAAGGGAAATAAAGTGAAGGTGAAAAAGACGACGGCAGAGGAAAGACGATAGGAAAAATGGGATGGAAGAGAAATACGACGCATGGAAAAGACATGCATAGAAGAGGAATGCTACAAACCGGAGAACAAAAGGGGACTTACCACTAGTCTATCAAAGTTAATGTCAAGGTGAAGGTCCTTGATGGAAGCGTGGTCGCTCAAGGGGTTGTAAGAGATCTTGGCCCCTCCCCCGACTGCCGCCTCATACACGTCCAGACTGTATCCGCAATAAGAAGGTAAAGGTGGTTAGAATTATAAGCCAGAGGAAGGCCTCGGTCAGATGACCAAAAATTCCAGAGGCGGGTCATCATGTGACTAAGACCCTCGTCAGAAAATACTTGTCCTGTTTCCTGGCAAACCTTACCTAACCTAACCTGTATCCATCGGAGGATGGGAGGAAACAACGAGAGTATTTAGTGGAGGAGGGGTTGAGGGGTGAAGGTGAGTGATGGGATGGGGTGATGGATGAAGGTGAGAGGTAGAACAGGATGATGGGTGAAAGTGAGTGATGGGATAGGGTGATGGGATGGGATGATGGATGAAGATGAGAGGTAGAACGGGATGATAGGTGAAAGTGAGTGATGGGATGGGGAGATGGGTAAAAGTGGCTGGTAATATGGTGTAGGAGAGCAATTAGGTGTAAATAGTAGCATTTAAATTTAAAAGATAAACTGGAATAAGTTTGTAGACCGCCATCTTGAACAAAGAAAAGAGGGATTTTGATCCTTGATGTTGGAAAGTATGACCGCAATACCGACCGCATTGCAAAGTTCTATGCCACAGGAAAGAAAACAGAGAGACTTCGTGTAAGCCCAGCCATTCAGAGAAGAGAAAAGTAAAACAATGTTTTGACTGGCTGGGTCAAGTCGATGGCTCTCGTGGGCAGTTGAGGGAACACAATGTGTAATGACATGTGATGTTTATATATCTATATTCCTGGCATTCTTCTCGTGACGTCATCTTATCCTTCCCTCCCATGACGTCACCTGCTCTCCCATGACTTCAGTTGCCTTCTGGGTCTTACCTAAAATTCCCATTGCCGAAAACCGGGAAGAGGGAAGGCAAGCCCGTCCCGTCATAATATTCTTAGGAAGTCTTTAAACGGTGTCAAGTTCCAGCTTCTCCGGATGCCCGAGTAAAGTTAAGCTGGCAGATGATGAACCCTTGAATATTTGACCACGCCCTTTTCAGCAACCGTCCCCCCGAAAAAGGATAGGGTGGGTGAGTGTGATGGGGATGTAATGGATGAAAAAATGTGAAGCGAAAAAAAAAAGATTTATACTGAACATTTTAACGGGGGTTTAGGTTAGGAAAGGTTCGTCGGGAAAACAACAAGTTTTCCTGACGCGGGTTTTGATTGACCCCCGGGACTTTAGTCATAAAACCCGAGGCCTTTCCCTTTGGCTTACCGGTCTCCCCCTTTTAAAAAATTATGGTCAATATAACCTTTAAAGAACTTCAGGACAATAAAAGGGAAATTAAACCCCCCATAATAACTACATTAACCCAACAGCTTACATACCCAATGGCTACTAGGTTAAAGCTTTTTAAATGAAATGTAAAGAGGGGAAATAAGCCAAAAAGGGGGAAAAACTTTTTCTCCGTCAAAGGGGGACTGAAAAAATTGTCACAATTTAAAAAATATAATAACATCGTAGAACCTTTTCAATGCAGTCTTGTTGATGGGAAAAATAATTTCCCTTTTTGAATTTGACTGCCTATGTCCCCCCCTTTCCTTTTAGGAACTGAAGAATTAATTAAAAAACTTGAAGAGTTTTTAAGGGAAAACTAAGGAAGACAAAGTTTCTTTAAGAATTTAAGAATAAAAAGTTTCTTTGGATCTAAGGGAATTCAGGTGTTTAGGTATAGGAACTGAAAAGTTCCTTTAGGATTTTTAGGAACTTGAAGAGTTCCTTTAGGGAAAATGGGAACTTGAAAAGTTCCTTTGGAAATTTAGGAAATTGAAGAGTTTTCCTTTTAGGGAAAAAACTTTAAGAGTTCCTTTTGGAATTATGGAAATTGAAAAGTTCCTTTTGGAAATTTAGGGAAATTTAAAGGTTTCCCTTTTGGAATTTTAGGAACTTGAAGATTCTTTTGGAATAGAGGGCGAGTGGAGGTTTAGTGAGAAGGGGTTTAAATACCTACCCGTAAGTGGGTTTTGGGAATTTTTAAAATATGGACAAACAGAAGAACTTAGGTTTCAAATAATGGAAAATTTCCCGAAAGATATTTTAGAGGAGTTAGAATAAAAATTTTGGATACTCGCCATTATGAAGTATGATTGGGTTTTTTCTTTATAAAGTAGATTAAAAGGCTAGAAAAATGGTGAAATATTGGCTAGGATTTTTTAGGGATCTAATTTATTTTTTGAAAAGATGGCTAAGTTTATTGGAAAGAAGTTTTAAAAAATTTATTTTAAAAAGCATAATGGAGTTTTTTTGTAACTGTCTATTCTTGCATTTATGATTTGGTGAAAACTACATGAAAGATAGTACATGTTTTATCACCCCAAAATTTTTTTTGCGAATTTGAGTAAAAGAGTATAAAGCATCTAATTTTTTTTTTGAACCCCTTTAGTAAAAGCTTTTACCTAAAATAAGTAGAAGATTAACCAACTACTCATCTCGGGGAGTGCATGACCTCCTTTTTTTTCTGTGATGCACTTAAAATGTGGCAGCCACAGGAAAGAACTTGCCTTGGAAATAAATGGTAAAAAAATACCCACACAAGGAAAATTTTAAAACACAAGCATATAATGTGTCCTTTATTGCACGTTTCGCCCCACATGGGGTTTTTTAAGTCACAAACAAATTTTGTGACTTAAAAAACCCCACGTGTTGGGGAAACGTAGTCAAAAAGATCAGATTAACTGCATAGTGATAAATTCCAAAAATTGGGCCCTTGTTGTACAGTCTTTAACAATGTTTTAGTTTTTGAAAAAAAATTGCATTCCCTGTCTCATTATTATACTAATGAACAGGTGGTTTATAAATTCCCGTTAACCCCCTTATATCTCTCCCCCTTCTCTCTTCCTCTTTTATCTTCATTAGAGACAAAAAAACCTAAATATACCTCTTAAAAATTTTTAAGAGAGAAAAATACATAAACTTTTAAATTCTTTATAAAAAAATTGAAAAAGAATCTTTTAAACTTGAAAATCGAAAACCAAATTTGGAACTGGGGGGTAAAGCATGATGGGTTTACAAGTACGAAAGCTCATCTAAAAAACTGGAAAAAATTCCCTCTGTGGCAGGAGCTGAGTTTACTTGTGGGTTTCCTCCCCCCCCTTTTTGGGGGAAAAAAGAGGGGTCCCCCGCTTCGTGGGGATCCCAAGAACTAAATCCCTTTTTTCACGCCCCCCTTCGGTTACCCGGCCCCTGCCAGGAGTTCCGTGCCCCCCTCCCCTGAGGGGCAGCGGGCAGTGGGTACCCATTGGGAAAAAAGGGCCGAGTGGGTACATGCCCGACAGGGATCATTTTTAAGACATCCAAAATAAACGCCCAACAGACATTTATAAAATAAAACCCCCCTGAAAAGCGTCACCCCCGGGGTGGGTGAAAGGGTACATCGACAAGCAATATGTTTTTAAATTACCCGGGGGTTTACCTGGGAGAGATTTTCCGGGGGGCAACCCCCCCCCCCCGGGCCCGGGCTGTTTACCAGGCCCCCTTAGGTTTAGTGTCCCAATGCGACCCACACCATTTGACTAAACCCAGGTACCCCCTTTTTCTGATGGGGGAAAATAGACAACATTGAAAAAAAAAAAAACCCCTCCAATGTTTCTACTTCTGGCTGGAATCGAACCCACCCTACCGTGTAAAACGAAGGGGTTAACCACCAGGCCACCAGAACTTTGTTATCCCTCTACTCATGTCAGGGGAAAAATAAAGGGCTGACTCCATACATGATCTCAAATGCGAGAAAGTTAAGAGGGCTCATGAGATAACTCAAGTAAATATTTACAAATTGTTAATTATGCCATCACTAAGACACAGCACCACTACACATTACCACTACATATCACTCTACTGACTACCACCACCACACGACTATCACCACTATACCATGCCTCATGGCAAATCACCACCATACATATCACCACGACCAGACATTACTATATTACATACCACCATCACCACCACATCTCTACACACAACAATCACCGTATTCTACCAAATCACATCCCACTATCTACTACCACACTACACATCATGACAAACATCAGTCACTGTACACTAACACATTACATTCCAACTGGATGTGTTACTGTCCAGATTAGATTTTGCCACCGAAGTGGCTAGTTTATTGTGCATCCCATATCCATCCTGTGGACGGTAGCGCGAGAGCATGTGGATACACAAAAGGCCTAGGAACTAGGCCCCAAAGGGTTAACAGGAATACATATGGATTTATATCTACATATCTATAGTTCACTTATCTGTTACAAGCAAATTTAGGAAATTTGCTTAGTATATCTGGTATCTTATTTTCATTAATAAGATATCTTGACATGTCACATAGGTTATTATACTGTCTGTCTCTGTATTCCTCAATAAGTGGACAATTAAGCACATAGTGTTTTAAGACAGTGACCATATGCCTGATCACATAATTTACATTTAGTTTGATCATCTGTGTGTCTCCCAAACTGCCAGAAGTACTTGTAACCAAGCCTAAGCCTGGCCACTACAACATCAGTCAGTCTGTTCACATTGCAAGTTGCTCCATAAACATACTTATCTACGTTCATGTTATCATAGTGGGTTATAGATCTACTCAGGCTTCTAACTGCATTCCTATAATAATCATCTTCATTATTTACTTCTCTCCTAATATTATTCCTAATGCTAGACACAGTTATACCAAAGTTATATTCTACGTTCTCCTTCTGGATACTCTTCTTGGCTAACATATCAACTTTATCATGAAGGAGTAATCCAATGTGTGATGGGATCCATAGCAATTGTACATTAATTCCTTTGTCCCTAATTTTTGAGTATCTATACCTGGCTTCTCCAATGAGCATGTTGTTGGAGTCATTATATGAGCCAAGAGCCTTCAATGATGACATAGAATCAGTAATGATGATAGAGTCAAGCTCAGTGTCATAGGTTAGCTTTAGCGCCATTAGGATTGCAAACAATTCAGTTTGGCAGTGTAGACGCCCAGTTGTTAATTCTTATGCCTAACTCAACAAATTTATTATCGTTCTTAACT